TGTGAGTTAGAGGTGCTTAATTTCAAAGTAATTATAGCACTCCGTATAAATGTTTGCTCAGGAATATGCATTTGCTGAGGTGTTACCTCGTTCCAACGTCAAACAATTTATGCACTTGAGATTTTCCACCCTAGTTATCTAGCCAAATAGCCGGAAGCCTGGTCTTCCTTCCATACAGCAGTTGCTATTGTAATTCTCTTTGGAGCCCATCCTTCCCTTTCTGTGTTATCTGACTTTGATACATTCACTTCCTCCACTGAATTAATGTTCAGTCCCACCATCTTTGCCCTTTTTTTCTGCTCCGTTTTGATTTAATTTGATAACTATATTGCAGCTCTGTGCCAGTGCTGTGCCAGTCTCAGGAGAAGCCCCCAAAGCTGCCACTACGTTTGCATGTCATCATAAAAACTGTCCTTGAACTGGACCTATCTCCTAGTGCCAGGCCCAGATTGGCCACGTAGCATTTCCAATAACTGCAGCTGGCCTGTGCTTCCAGGAACACCATTTCCATAACCCGCAAAGTGATTTACATTGTACATTCAGGTGGCCATTGTACATTCAGGTGGCCTTCAGGGGGCAACTAGCCAGAGCGGACAACGCACCAAAGGAGCTGGAGGCGTCCTGGGTTTCAGAAGCCAGCCCAACAGCAAAATGGAAGAGTTTTGCTTTCCTGATGTGATGGAACTTCCTGAAGCAAACAAGTCCTGGCAGCGAATATGGCACATTATATGATTCTCTGCCTCCATTATTTTTCTGCCTAATTATACCATCGCCGTGGCCTAGGATCCACGTCCGTCAGGCAGCTACTGCTGTAGTTGAGGACTCATATCGAGAAAGTTCCTCCCTCCCAGAAAACAGAAGACTTTTATTCTTTTTTGGGGGGAGCGAGCACTAAAATCTGCTAGAAGCAGTTCCCCTTCCCCAAAATGGTAGTCAGGGAATGAAATGATGCATAGGATGGAATCCAAACGTGGCCCCTGAAACCCTATTTTGAAAGAGCAATTCGTATGAAAGGTGTGGAGTCTTTTGCTTGGTGATTCCTGGACAGTTAAAATAAAGTAAAATCTACAGAACAAGCCAATAGCAGGAATGCATGCACTAGTGCAGGGGTAGGCAACCTTGGCTCTTTTATGACTCGTGGACTTCAACTCCCAGAATTCCTGAGCCAGCTATGACTGGCTCAGGAATTCTGGGAGTTGAAGTCCACGAGTCATAAAAGAGCCAAGGTTGCCTACCCCTGCACTAGGGAAATACAAGCAAAGGGGCAGAACTTGTCCCCATCCTTAAAAAAATATCATTAAAAATATAGTGCTTATCTACAAACGTGTCCAAAGTTTAGCATTCTTTAATCTACACCCTTAATCTGTTCTTATTTATTTACTGGTGAAAGAAGGGAGGAATGGCAACCTGGAAGTTGCAAGTACTGTAGTAAGAGCCTCACATGCAAAGTTGCCAATGCAGGGTATATATGATGAAAAAACCCCACAGTGGCCTTTTCTGTTCCAGGGCATCCATTTCACCCCAAACGTGCTATGTCAAAATGACAGCAGCAACCTGCTGGTGAACTGAGAATTTATTAAATCTATGCGTTTCGTGCTAATACACACTCAGAATGCACCTTCTATTAATACATATCCTCTTTCCTTAGCATCATCTAACTATTATCTGAGAGTTTAGGAGTGTATAAAAAAGTAGAAAGGGGAAAAAAACTCCTTCTCCCTGCTTCTTCCATACTCTTTTCAGTTAGAAGTATCACTCTGTTTTAGAAAATAAGAAAGCTCATCCTTGAGGCAAGCTTGATTCCTGGTAATTTAAGGGTCTTACTGTTGTTTTCTTGGCAAGGCTAATGGTTTGCCATTGCCTTCTTCTTCCAGGATGCATCTCTACACATTTTATTTGTTAATTTTTATTTCCCGCCTTTTGTTCAGTTGAAATTGCACTCCCTCCTCCTCCTATTCTCCACAGCCAACACTTTGTGAGCTGGTTGAGCTGAGAGAGAGAGAATGACTGGTCCAAAATCACCTAATGAGCTTTTGTTGGCGAAGCTGGAGCAGAACTTGGGTGTGGCTGGTGTTAGTCCAATATCTTAACCACCATACCACACTGGGTCCCATCTTTGCTTTTCATCTTCCCAATCTGATCTGGGAATTTTCATTCGATGGAGCTCTCTGATTGTAATATTTACCAGGCCCAGCTCTGCTTATTTTCACTTCTAAGTCTACAAAGGAGAAAAACAAGATGAGATATGCCTTAGTAAGTAGAGAGAAGAGGGTCCTGCAGCTCCAGAAGGAGAAAAACAGGATATGAACAGAGAAAACCCAAAGACCTACAGTTACCTGGAGACAGAGCCAAAGCTAATCCCCCATTCTGGGAGCCTATTGATATGGAGAGTTTTATCTGAAAGGAAGATACTCCACTGAGGAGACTCTGGCTTGGTGGAGGGGTGAGGCTGTGCTTGCTTTGGAATGTGAGTTTGTTTGGATGCACTTTCCTTTGAAGGAGGAGGTTTTAACCAGGAGTTTCAATAGCCCCGTTCAGCATGGAAAAAATGGCTTGGGAGGTGGCTGCTGTCCATTAATTAGCCCTTTTTGGACCCTCTGTGTAGATTTTTTTTGCCCTTCCTGGTTCACCATCCCTTCTTGATTGTTCCAGTCTTGATTGCATTCACCTCTGTTCACGCAGGGCCATGAGATCATGGCTAATATACCAAAGTAGCTCAGAGCATATTAGAAAGAGACCCAAGAAGATATCTCTAGTAGCTATCTTGGAAAGATCAGCCATTGTCATGGCCTAAATGTTTTCTTCCCAAGGTTGAACCAATCCGTTCCGTCTTGCAGAGGAAAATAATGCACGGATCATTAAAATGAAAGGCTTGTTGCTGGATGGTATGGGAAGGGAGATGAGGCCAATGTGGATAACCTTCCACACATCCTGATAAGTGCGCAGACAGTTTGGCTCCTCCAAAGATTGTTGGGTGTGACAGAGCCTGAGGGAAAACCTTTGCTATTGTTCTTGGTTTTTTTAAGCTTGCAGAATAGGAATGACCATTGCCATTATCTCACTATCTCCTTCAGCAAGCTTACATCTGACTCTCCTAGCCACTTTCCTAAACCCTCTTTTCCCAGTTGCCAGAACTGGCCATACTGATTAGGAACAATGGCGGCAGGGGAGGGGGGAGGGGGGGGAAGGTTCAGGGGAAGATGCCTACTGGCAGAAGAAAAGATTTCCAGAGAGGTTTCCCAGTAAACAGAATCCAAAGTTCCAGGGATTCTCTAAATGTTCTCTCCTACTTTGATAGTTGGAGAGGGTGTGAACCTCAGCACTCACGTATGTCGTGCGCATACGGTTAAAGCATGTTCATAAAAAAAAGCCCTGAAAAATGTACAGTATATATGGTAATCTTCCACAGATAATATTAATTAGATTTTGCATGCAATTTTTAAAAGCTGGGAGGGAGATGGAAAAACTAAAATATATTCTGTTCTGAGAGATTTTATCTCAGTTGCATATCTTATAATTTACCTTACTAGAACAACACCATCTTGAAAATGCCGAGACTTTCGCACATGCGTGTGTGCATGCACGCGCACACACAAACCCCAGAAAGCTTCTTTCACACATTTGCCTTACATTCTACCTACTTCCTTACCATCCTTTTCTCTCCCAGCTCTTATCTTGTACAATCTAGACTGCCTCCCCCAATTCCACAATCTTCCCCAGATGTGTTTGAGCAGAGTTTCTCAATCTCAGCTACCGGTACTTTAAGATATATGGACTCTAACTCTGGAGTACACACATCTTAAAAAGTTGTTGCAATAGAGAAACAGTAGGTTAGATTATATTTCCCACCAGTGCTAATTGGAGGAGGATGAAAACTGGGAGGAGTAGAAGAGATCTTGCATAAAGACTAACATTATAAAATCCTACTAAATCCCAAGGCACTGGAGTGACCCTTAAATTCCCATAACGATTTTGGGGCCACATTTATAATACATGTTCTGTAACAAGTCCTCTGAGTTTGATGCAGCAAATCAGACCCACTTTTTTGTCATTTTTCCTGGAATAACATTTAGAAGTCTCAGTCAGATCGCACAGACTGGTGGTTATTTCCCAAATTACCTATTATTAAAATAAAGTTTGCTTATTGGACCCTAGAAATCGATATCCCTAAAGAATAAGGAAGCAAGATAATTTTTTCCCCCTTTATCTGAAGCACTTCATGCAGCAGTGGGGTCCGCAGGTGCAAGATCATGCCTTTTTTTAAACGAATATTCGTTTTTTCCAGATGTATCCAAATAAATTAAATGCCTGCATAATTTGGATTAAAGTATTGCTCCTTTTTCTCTTTCCGCGGGCTTTTAATTCCCCACCAGCAGCAGCAGCAGCCCACTTTTTGTTTTCGGATGAAGAGTTTCCCTTGAGCCGAAGTTTAATGAGTCGTATCTCTAGTTACCATTCTAAGCAGAGAGGAAGCAAAAGGCTGGCGAGATTGAACTCTGCTTAATCCCCTTTCGCCGAGGTTTTGGGGGGGGAGAGAATTTAGCTAATGTGAGTGTAAAAAGGCCCTGGCGCGGGCGGGGGAAGCGGCAGAAGGAGGGGAACCGGGCGGGGGGCGGGGCGGGCCCCTCTGATCCTCCCCCTCCGGCCTGGCTCTTTTCGCGGCCCATTGTTGGCTCGGAGCGGGCCGGCTGTGCGCTTCGCGGGGGTGTAACTTGAGAGCTTTCGCTACAAAGTCCCAGCGCCTATTGCAGAAGCCGACAGAAAGCTCGCGAACTGGAATGCGGCTCTGGACGCGGCCGCGTTTTTTCGCTTCTGCCTGCCCGGGAAGATCCAGAGGAGAACGCTGAAGGTTGTTGTTGGCGGCGGCGGCGGCGCCTTGCCGGATTTATGCTTTGCGCGGGACGGAGCGCCGCGGCCAACAACCGGGACCCTGGCGCATCCTTTTCTTCCTACCCTCCGAGGAGCGGAGCCCGGGAAGACGGAGTAGTGGAACAGCTCTAAGCCGGCAGGAGGAGGAAAGGTGGGTCCCGGGTTGGTTGCCTAGCTTGCCTTGAGGCACCGGGGATGGGAATGGCTCCCATGGAGAAGGTCGGCGCTCTTCTCTCCAAAAATCGGGCAGCGGGGCGAGAGGCAGGCGCCGAATCCCGAGATCTTGCCCACGGGAACCCGGAGACCTTCCGGGGCGACTTTGACCCGGGAGGGTCTGCAAATCTGTTACTAAACCGTCCGGCTGCGCAGAAACTTTTTTATTTTTTGGTCGGTTTAAAAATTAAGCCGTTCTCGGGAGGACGACCTGAAGCGCAACTTCTTCCACGCCATGCGCTGCGAACATGCATGGTGCCCACGCGCGCCGCGGGGATGTGGCAAGGCGCAGATCCGCACCGTTCCACTCTAAACGCCCCCTTCACCTGCGGCTAGCTAGGCGCAACTTTCTCACAAACACAACCCCAAACCGCGTTTAAGCGAAAAGGGATTGGGGGGGGTCCTTCCATGGCACTTAAATCCATTCCTTTCAATGGAAGTAAACCTGCATTATTGGAGCGCGCGCGGTGTGTGTGTGTGGGGAAAGCTATTCTGCGAATGCCCACGTGTGCTTTCTTTGGACAAGTAGTTTAAATCCTCGTACTAGGATGAAACTTCACCCTTGTTTCTTCCGTTTACCCCCCCCCCCCCAAACATTGTCTGAATGTAATGTATGGAGCCCACCTTTTCTTTTAATGGCATGGGCCAAAGCAAGTTCCCCCAGATTTGTTCATCCCAAGTTCCGGAGAGCCACGTGAAAATGATGTATCGTGGAGACGTGCGAAAGAGGGGAATTACAGATGGATTTATTTAATGTGTTGCAGGATGATTGCCAATGGTGATCTTATGGACTGATTCCTTTGTCAAATAGAAGCTCTTAAGTTTGTCTCTTGAACTTTGAGCTCAAAAAACTGCAGCTTGGAATGACATCTTAAACCTTGTGTTGACTGTCTTTGCAAGGCAGGCTGAACTGTAAACAAACTACACCCCTCCCCCCCTGTGTTAGTTTACTACGGGTAGGTGAAGCCAGCCTGATTACTTTATGGTTGTTGTGTCAGATAATTATCTCAAGTAATGGATTAATTGCATTAACCAAGGTTCAGTTAAGCATAGATAATTGTACAGTGAGGACAGGATTGCTGGGAACTTTCAAAGGGAGTACTATATTTCAAAATTGTAATAAGCTATAGACCATTTGTTACTAAAAATTATTTCACTTTTATAGCATTTCACAAATGGGTTGTTTGCATCTAGTGTTGACAATGTTTGAACATTTGGATTGGCAAATGGATGTATTCCATTCCCTGCCATTTCTTTTGAGATAATGTTAAGTAATACTTGCAGAGTCTAAAGCTCTAATAATTGTACCTGTACACTGACCCCCAACATTTTTTGCAAGGAATCCTGGATAGTTACAGATACATACTGATCATGTGTTAGAGGACAAAAGAGTGACTTTCATTTTTTCTCTCTTTTAATTAAGCATTTAAGTGTCCCAACTGGGAGCCAAAGTGAAGAAGGCAACAGGATGACAGCCCTGTGGTGTGATCTTCTTAGGCTTCTGGTGGTAGCAATTATATCTGCTTGGATATCTGCTTCCACAGAAGGAACCAGGGATCCAGGTGAGTGTTACTGGGAACTATTGCTACAGAATTAGGAGAAGTAAGTGTGTCTGAATATGAAAAACGGTATTAGGATATTTTCTATGGAAGAGTTTGCCTTACAAGCCCCAATCATCTTGGCAAGTTATGAGGCATTTCAGATTTGCTCTCCAAATTAGTGGATAGCAGCAGAGTATTGCTGCTGACTTTTAATCACTCGTACTTTAGTGAAGATTTTATTGAAGAAAAATATGTAATGGAAAGCAGTAAGTTATCATTAACACAGTTTGTCAAAGACATGTAGTGGAGTCAGTGGCAAGAAATGGAAATCTAAGATCCAAGATCAATTTGTCTAACCAAGGTTAGTTCTGAATATTTTGTACAATAAGAGCTTTCTGGAATATAAATAACCAATGTGGTGTAGCAGTTAAGTAAAGAGTTGGACTACAGGACCAGGGAGATGAAAATTTGAGCACATGTCCCCAAGGCATGGAAGTACTGAGCAACTTAAACCAGTTGCTATCTCTTAGCCCTACCTACCTGGCAAGATTGTTGTGCAGAAAAATTGTCATAGGGAATGCTATGTATACTCCTTTTGTCCCTTAAGGAAAGATAAAATATAAACCTATCTGTTTATAAACTTTGAGTGATTAGACTTTCCAAAGGTCATTGACTCTCATCTTCTAATCTAAAAAGCCTATTAAAATGAAAGAAAATTCAAAAGAAAAAGATGGAGTGTATTTCTGCATAACTAAGGTATAATCTCATACTAAAAGCAAATTGCTTTGAAGCATGACATTCCTACTGTATATTTCAAAAATGTTCTTCACTCACTCTCTGGTTCCATCTGGTAGATCTCAACTTCTAGTAAAAAAAAAAAAGGAAAAATAAGATGCCATAAACCTAAAGGCTTCCTATTCCCTGGAATTTAAGAATCACAAAGCTATTTTCTGCACATATGAAATTCCTAATTCTGACTGCCAAGTGTAAAATTTACAGGCAGATTTTCTGCAGTCAGCATACAATTGTATCTCTTTAAGTACTGTGCTAAAGTAATTTTGTTCACAAGAAAGATCTTGATAGTGTCAAATTTCTGCTTCTTTGTCATGAAGATTTTGTTAATCTTCTTTCCCATTTTACAATAGGGATAATTATCTTTTCATCAAGTTCTCACTTTGCCTCTTAATTATCTTAATTCTTGACTGTAAAAGAGCTATATTTTTTAATTATGTGTAATGTAGGATAGAACTAAGCACACCTGAATCACTTGGAAAGATGTAGATCTCTCTGAAGAAGTATCACATTGCAACATTACAGGACCGCTATCATATCAATCAATGTAATATTTATTGAAATGTGCATTGTAAGTTTCATTGTGGACCAATGGTATGAGGCTGAAACCTATGCAGATACTTTTAGAAATGTGTTCCATGTATCTCATATATGTTTATATCTGTATCTCTATATCTATAGCTCTTTCTCTATACCTATATCTATCTATCTGTCTGTCTTGTATGTATGCATATGTATATGTTTATATATTGTAATAGTTTGACATTTTTGGAGTTGTTTCTACAATAAGTAGCTAGCATCCTTGCAAATTGTCTTACTGACCTCACTGAATAATCTAATTCATTTAAGTTTGCATTTCTGGGATTCCCTAGTGGAATAAGAGTAAATTGTCCTGCCAGGTGCTTGGCACTTTCACTCATGCTTGAGAAAAGATACTTCTTCCTTGACTGGCCCATCCATGAAACAGATAGGATAATTGTTATTTGTGCCAACCAGCTGCCTGGGTGCCTCTGAGCCTACTGTCACATCATGCTGGTCATTGAGCTTTGCTGCTATCCAGCAATCAGTATTAATGGACTGAGGAAGCAATGTAATGGTTGATATAGAGTTTGTTCTCTGCTATCTCTTCTGAGATTGGCACAATAAGCAACCATGAGGAAAAAAGATCAAGAGAATAAAAGTAAAGTCTGGAGCTTCCGCCTATATAATCTGGTTTAATGAAATAATCTAGTTGTGTAATCGATGCTGCTTGTGTATAAGAATAAAAATAATCTTTGTGAGAACCTGTTGACAAATTCAGTGGGTTGTCTCACAGTGAATGTGAACTTTATTCCCAAGTAGAAGGTGCCAGATATTTGTTTAGCACAGATTCCACTTGTCAAAGTCCATTGCTTAGGTGGCAAAATGACAGGACATCTTTTTGGGTCCCATAAATGACATTATTAAGAGCTGTCAGCATTACCAGATTTCAGATTAGTTTCAAATTATTTTCTTGCTCGGTAGAAGGATTTTGAATTACTTGGAAAGTTCTTAAACACTAATAAACCCAATCTGAAATTGTCAGTTAAGAATTGGAAAGTGAGGTTACAAAGAAGGGCAACTTGAGAACAGTCTTCAACTGTACTTTTCTAGATTTGTTCAAGGTCCAAATTACATAATTTGTACAGTGTTTTCCAACATCTGAAATCTCTCTCTGGGCAGTCACTGCTTGCTGTGAATTGGCCACTGAGGCTCCTTATCAAGCTGACTTCATCGTGTTCTTCTAAAGGGGAGGGCTTTTCTTCCTTTCCAATCAGAATGGTTTCCTCAGCCGGGAGGAATATTTATAGCAGATAACTTAATTACCTCAGCAATTACATTAAATGATTTTTTTTTTAGTAAAGAACAGCTGCAAGGGAATATTCCCCTCTGCACAAGACCAGATTCCTACATTGAGGACGAAGGCCAGCAGTTGATCTATACAGGCACGCTATTTCATTGGGAATTAATTCACATTCATCTTAACTTAATAAAAACGCCTTAGACTTTAACATGGAGTATCTATCTTTCTAATGAATGTGAAGCAAATCATTGATGACTGAATTCTGTTGTTAATTCTTATTCCCAGTTTGTAAGGCTTTTGATCTCAGGCACTGATTTAATATAGACCACTTTACCCTTTGCAAGGGAGCAGAAGGCCCCAGTGGCCATTCTGCCTCAGGCGGCAAAAATCTTAGGGCTCCGTCCTGAAGTTCAGTTGGGAGAGAGGATGAACTGGACATTCCTGCAAGTCACACCATTTGCAGGAATTCCTCTCACTTGGCAGCTTAGTAGGAGGGGAGGGAACCAGTGGGCTACCTAGAATGGAAAACAGCGGTTTCAGCAGCAGCTGCTGGTGGAGCAGGCTGGGACACATTGCTTTGTGGACCCAAAGAGGTGGGTCACGCCTGGAGCTCAGTCCTCTCCGAAAAAGAGGGGAGCGTTATCGGCTAAGTGGGTTGGCATTAGCCAGGTTTCAATGAGGGACAGCAGACTTGCTTCAGGAGTGAGTTGGTGGAAGGGGCTGCTGGCAGTGCTCCTACAATTGGAGCTAATGTTGGAGGAGGATGGGTCACCAAAGCAATTATAGTTCAAATCCAGGTTAGACAAACAGGGAGGCGGGAAGCTGTGGAGTCAACTGAGTGTGAAACCTCTCACTCCCGCTCATGCCACGGAGGAAAGGAGGGAAAGCTGTGTGGGAGGGAGCTAAAGGGGAAGGGAGGGGCCAGGAGGGGATGGGTGCAGCCGGGGACAAAGTTGCAGATTCAAAGCTAGTTTGCCTCCTTGTGACTTACAGGCATGCATGTGCCCAACTAGGGGTAATGGTGAAGGCTTTCTGTCCCATTTCTTCTCCCCGCCCCGCCCCATCCCATCCTGGGCTGCAGAAGCAGAGGAAGAGCTGAGAAGAGAGCCAGAGTCCTTTGCTGAAAAGGGGCTGGCCCCTATTGTGAGCTGGGGCAAGGGGAGCACGGGAAAGGAGCTGTGGGGCCAGAACAATGGGGGGAAGGGGCAGTGGTCGTGGGTTTCCTGACATGTTCATTTTGGAATCTGTCAAAACAGTCACCTTGAGCTCAGGGACTGATCACTCAATTGAGAGCTCCCACAGAGAGAATTGGGGAGGGGGGGATTTGAGCTCGAAAGTCATGCTTCAGTGTTCCTGGGATCCTTTCTCCAGCCCGGGACTGGCAGGAAAGGGGCTTTGATTACATCATTGCGGGGACAAGGGAGGGAATGCAGAACAAAAGGGATTATGGACAGGATTTGGAGAATCCCAAGGTGGAAGGGGTGGAATTGAGCAACACTCTTCCACAACTTGATTACTTTAAACTCCTATTTAGCCTATATGCATAAAGCAACAACCGTAAAACACCCAGTAAGCCTTCAGCTTGTATATGTGCTTATCTGATACTGCTTTCTCCTTCCAAATGACAGATTTGCACAATCTGTGCACAATCACAGGCTTGTGTGCTTAATTCATAGTCAAAAGAGAGGAGACATTTTTTTCCAATGTAACCTAACATTTTGGCTAGTTTTACCCTGGAGAGCAAGCCAGAAGTTGACTGCTTTCCTCTAAAATTAGAGTAACTGTAGAAGATTCCTGAATATCTTGCATGTGAGTCTGCTCCCCACATCCCAAACTTTATCCTCCAGATCTGTTAGAAATGCTCTTAATTAATTTTAAAAATGCAAGATTCTCAAAAATGTTTAAGCACTTGGGTGGGAACATATTTGAACAGAAGATTCTGAAGAAAAATGGAATGTAAGAATGCAAAATATGTATGACATTTAGCACGTAAACAACATTGTCAGATGAATACTTTTATTAAAACAATACTTAGAAATACGTGTTAAGTTTGAGCTGTTACACCCTAAGGTACCAAATATATCTTTTATACCCATTTTAAAAAGAAGGGGAAAAAATAAATGGAAGGTATGAGCAGGTCTCTCTAGTTGCATAATATATTTTGTACTTCTAGTCTGAACTTTATGGACTTCAGAAGGTGAAAGGTTTGCATGAATTGAAAATAAGAGATTGACATCACTTGCTACTTTTGAAATATTTTCACTGTGCTTATTTTCAAATGTGCATCAGATTATTCCGCAGCACAGAAGACAGGAATCTGAAGGCAGAGGCTAAATTGTGAAACAGTTTTGCTATCAGGTTCAGGAGTGATATATTGGGAGCTTTCCAGATTGGACTATCCTCCCTGATCAAACTGCCACTTCTCTGTTCCAGAGCAAAATCTTACTCTGTTGATCAGTTTCACCCAGAGTGCTGGCATTAGCAAGATCCCCACCGGGGTGGGTGGGTGGGGGACTTTTATAACGTACCTAGTTATAAAGCTAACTGCATTTTAACTTAAGATGCTGTGTGTACCCAGCTCGTGTTGTTAGTTCATGGTTCAGAATGTTCTGACAGCACTTGAATAAATCCCAGTTAAGTTGTGTCTGGACAAGCATAGCACACTAATACAATCAGTTAAAAACTTTTTTCTGTACCAAGTTAAATCTGGACAAAGACATATTTATAAGCTGCTGTTTTTAAGCGCAGCTATACTTAAGATCTTCCCGCTCTCCTAAAGTAAGGTTTTTGGAATTGGTGAAATAACAAAAGTGAGTACTTAAGCTGAATTTCTCCAGCCTGCAGCTTGCCTGGTATGTTGAGACTGTAGCAATTCAAATTTCCATCTTGAGCTTTTGGTTGCACTATTTGAAGATTGTTATGAGAACAGTAGTCAGGTTAATCAGATCTGAAGGGTACCTGCTTGAAGAAGTCTGGCAATATATGATGGAAAATCCTGCTATGCTACCATTATGCCTTAATATACTAGAGATGTAAGATTTGGATGCTGGGATAGAAGTGGCTTTGCTTTGTAGAGTTTGTTAATGGCTCATTACATTGCTCATAGTACAGTATTTGCAAGATGGCAGTAGAGCAGGAAAAACCTGTCATTTGCACTGATTGGTCCTTCTTTATATTGGACAGAGATATTTGACAGCCACATGCTTGAGACAGAAGAGGAGCATCTGGTTTTGGATCCAGGGAGCCAGCTGAAGCTCTATTGCAGCACCAATCACACTCTTGCTATCACATGGTATAAGGAAGATAAGCAACTTTTCCCTAGTGAGCGCATCCACATTCAGCAAAATTTGCTGGAGATCCCTGAAGCCACCTATGAAGATTCAGGATTATACTCATGCCACGCTTGGAATACTGGAGAAAGCCTGCGTAATTTTACTATCTCTGTTGTAGGTAAGAGCATAAGACTAGGAAGGATTGCAGTGCTCTAACTGCTTTCAAAGTATCTGAAGAGATTTAATATTTTCAAAGAAACCCAGGAAGTGGCTTGCTATATGCTGAATCAGATCACACAATCCACTGAGCTCAAGATATCATCAGCAGACATGGTATGATTTTAGACCAGAGCCAGGATGCTCAGAGATTGAGGTTGTGCACTGTCACACATTATACCAAGCATGTCAAATTGCCAGCCCGCAGGCCGGATGCATCACGCTGAAACCATGCCCACCCCATTGCCGGCAATGGGGAAAAAGTCATGATACATCATGCGACATCACGTGACTTCGCGAGTTTGACATGCCTGCATTATACCAATTAACAACCATAGTGTCTCAGATTGTACATATTTATTTATTAAATTTGTTGTGGCTGCCTACTCTGGACAGCTTACAATATTGAACTGCACAATTAAAAACACAATAAAGTAATAACCACTCAGGTTAGAAAACAACCATAACTAAAGAAAATGTAACAGGGTCCTCACAGCACACATTAATTCTAGGCCTTTAGAAGGCATCTTCCAAAACACAAGGATGGCTATAAGGTGGAGCTTCCTGTGCAAAACAACATCTACAATGTAATTCATGGTGTACAAATCTAGCACTGCAGTGCCAACTCTCTTTATTTGCCCTTTGTAACTGCCCTTCCTTACATCCATCTAACATTTTGCTTCTTCTCCTCAAAAAGTGCTGGCACAACAGCAAAAAAACAACAACCCAACCCTTAATATGTGGCATCTATCCACTGTCCCATAATTACTTGGGGGTGTTTTAGTACAAAGTGTCATCTCTGCTAATTTTGATTTTAGATTCATTGGCTTCAGGGGACGATGATGAAGACAGTGATGTGGAGAATGCTCACATTGATTCTAATGAGGAGCCTGCACAGGCCCATCGAGGTTAGTATTGGGGTCATTATCCTCAGTCTTGTGGACTGTTACCTTTTAGGAACAAAGACACGGAGGACTATAGCAGATATCTTCCCTCCGTTGCAAAAATCTCAAGGAACCCAAAAGTGTGGGACAGTTATTACCATCACTCTGCTACCAAGGATGGTGCACGACATGGCCTGCCACTGATGTCTTTCAGAATGTTGTGTATTCCTGGCAGAATGAATGCAGTGCTATCATTCATTTTGGCACACTGTTGAGTGCCTGTGTAACATTTTCTGTTCCTTGTATTGTTGTTGTTGTTTTCTTGGAAGCCAGTTCAAGGTTCATCCTCTCCCTGCCTCAGTTGTAGCACAAAATCCAATTTGGTTCCCAAGAACACAACACTTCTGAAGCCTTCACTAAAACCTGAATGGGTCACGTCATATTTTTTTTAGCACCCTATTGGACACACCCTCATCGAATGGACAAGAAGCTGCATGCAGTCCCAGCAGGAAATACAGTCAAGTTCCGCTGCCCAGCTTCAGGAAATCCCACCCCATCTATCCGCTGGTTGAAGAACGGGCGGGAATTCCGTGGGGAGCACCGTATTGGAGGAATTCGGGTAAGACTTAAATGTGTTGGATTGTTCTTTCCTCTCCCCACTTCCTTCTCCTTCCATTTGCTTGGTTAACCCACGAGGTTTTATGACTTAGGGCTTTGGGTGGAGAGAACTATAGAAACATGTAACATAGAGGAGGAAGAAGAAGCCAAACTATTCATGATGAAAGCCCCTTGCAGAACTATATCTTAGTGATAGATTCCTAGGCCTTTGCATGGGTGGGATTAGCATTTGTGTGTAGGAAGAGAATTACCAAAGCCTTAAATACTAGCTGTAACCCTAATCCCTTTTTAACTCTCCCTGTCTTAAATCTCCCAGAACAATACAGGTAGTCCTTGATTTACAGCGGTTCATTTAGTGACCATTCAAAGTTACAACAGCACTGAAAAAAGTGATTTATGACCATTTTTCACACTTATGACTGCTGCAACATTCCCATGGTCACATGATCAAAATTCAAATGCTTGCCAACTGACTGATTGTTTATGATGGTTTCTATGTCCCGGGGTCACACAATCCCCTTTTGCAACCATCTGACAAGCAAAGTCAATGGGGAAGCCAGAGTCACTTAACAACAGGGTTACTAATTTAACATCTGCAGTGATTTACTTAACAACTGTAGCAAGAAAGATCGTAAAATGGGGCAAAATTCACATAACAAATGTTTCACGTAACCACAGAGGTGTTGGGCTGAATTGTGGTCGTAAGTTGAGGACTATCTGTATTTCCTAACTTTGCCGCAAGCTGAAATAGCCATGTCTGAAATACGAGATTCTATTAGAATTATACTCAGGAAAGATTGATAGCTCTGCAAAACAAAGGATGCACCAGTGATAACGATAGCTTGCCTCATCTTTTCTATTCCCAGCTCAGGCATCAACACTGGAGTTTGGTCATGGAGAGCGTGGTACCCTCTGATCGAGGCAACTATACATGCTTGGTGGAGAATAAATTTGGCAGCATTCGCTACAGCTACTTTCTGGATGTGCTAGGTGAGAAGGTCTTCCTTCCCAAACCTTGAATGGGATTCTATTCTTTAATGGCAAGTTGAGAAGCAGACACAAAGCAAAGGAAACATGTTGGCCATAAGAAATATTCAGACTCTGTATAAAGGAGACCAACTCAAAGATATGAAATGGAGCACAGCTGAAAATGAAATGGACCCATCGCTATTTTCAGAACTTCCTGTGTTCATTAATGCTTCTGAGTTGGGGAGGGGAGCAAAACTCAGGTGTTGGCATCCTGCCATTTTTCTTAGGAAGGCAAAGGCACCATCCTGACCTCAAACTCCCCAGATTGAAAAAACAAAACAAAACCCAAATCCTCTGCCAGCTTCAAAGGAAGACAAAGATCTCTTGGGTCACAAAGTCAGATGAAATTAATTAACCCTGCCTGAATCACCAGGCAGAGCTTTAAGCATTTGCTTTCTTATCTCTACATTCTTTATTATCAGCCTTCTCTGGGGTTACTCTTAATCGCCCCAGAGTCTCTGGAGCCAGCCCTGGCTGGGAGGTCTTCCTGTGGTATTATGTAACATCAGAAGCATAGCAAGTTTTGCTGATCTGTGGTGGGGAAAAAATTATGATTCCACCAAGTTTTGGGGCAAGACCATTAGTGGTGCTGTGTTAAGAAGATTGCAAACTGCTACTATTGGATGGGTGTATCTTAGCTGATTTTGCTTTGTACTTTTGGCCTGTTCCGAATCACAATCAGAGATTGATGTATTGGAGACTCCAGCAGTAACCCGTCTTGAGAAATATGGTGCCCTTCAGCTGTGCTGGACAACTGGACATTTTTCCTGTTTGTTTCTTGACAGAGAGGTCTCCACATAGACCTATCTTGCAAGCTGGGCTGCCTGCCAATACCACAGCAGTGATGGGGACTGATGTAGAGTTCTTTTGCAAGGTATACAGCGATGCACAGCCCCACATACAGTGGCTTAAACACATCAAAGTGAATGGCAGCAGTTTTGGTCCAGATGGAGTCCCCTACGTGCAGATCCTTAAGGTAACCAGAATTTACTTTTTTTGAAAATGGGAGTGGTAAACAATAAACCACGTTGCTCAGTGATATTTATATTTATAACATGATGGAGCTGGCAGAGTTATAGAGACCACATCTTCACCATTTGGTGTTAATCAGTAATTGGTTTTCCTCAAGGAGCAGATGAAGAAGAAATGAGGGGTTGTAGGCAAGGATTTTGCTCTCTGTCCATGCTGAAGAATTCTGTTGACACTTTCTCTAGATCCCTTTCATTTCAAGGCTGGACATGGGTGTTTTTGCTTTCAGTGATTTTAATTTGAAAATACTACTGAGCAAGGTACCACTTATACTATATCAAATGCATAGGTATAGTATAGGTGGTACCTTGTTCAATAGTAGCAACTGTGGGAGGGATCGGATTTCTAGTGGACAGTCACTTAAATATGAGCCAGCAGTGTGCTGCAGATGCCAAAAAAGCCAACACAGTGCTGGGCTGCATTAACAGAGGGATAGAATCAAAATCACATGAACTGTTAATACCACTTTACAATGCCTTAGTAAGGCCACACTTGGAATACTGCATCCAGTTTTGGTCACCATGATGTAAAAAAGATGTTGAGATTCTAGAAAGAGTACAGAGAAAAGCAACAAAGATGATTAGGGGACTGGACACTAAAGCATATAAGGAAAGGCTGCTGGAATTGGGTATGTCTAGTTTAATGAAGAGAAGGACGAGGGGGGACATGATAGCAGTATTCCAATATCTCAGGGGTTGCCACAAAGAAGAGGGAGTTAAGCTATTCTCCAAAGCACCTAAAGGCAAGGCAAGAAGCAACGGATGGAAACTAACCAAAGAGAGAAGCAACCTAGAATTAAGGAGAACTTTCCTGACAGTCAGAACAATTAATCAGTGGAACAACCTGCCTCCAGAAGTTGTGAATGCTCCAACACTGGAAGTTTTAAAGAAGAGACTGGACAGCCATTTGTCTGAAATGGTATAGGGTTTCCTGCCTGAGCAGGGCGTTGGACTAGATGACCTCCAAGGTCCTTCCCAACTTTATTATTATTATTGTTGTTGTTGTTACTGACCTATAACCTTGCAAATTAAGGCATTCTCAAATGAAGATGGCACACTGTAATTATACAGCCACTGCAATCCAGTGACTTTTTTTAAAAAAAAGATATGATATCTTTGTTGTTTCCCTCAAAAGAAAGGCAGAGTCCAAACATGTTGATATTTTCATTTGTATCAACTGTTAGTAGACTGAATTGAAAAATATAAACAAAACCTCTTATGGCAAAAAAAAAAACCCCACCCCACTGTTAGTTTAACGCTTTTCCAGCTAGAAACGTGACTCTCATAGGGTTTTCATTAAAACAAACTCCCTTATAAACAATAAAAGTTAGCAATAAGTATAATGCATGTATAGCATACCTTCCTCAGAGATGTGGAAATGTGGACCTTCACATACATATGCTAAGTTTTGTTTATCTATCAAATTTTGAAACTCACAGAGAGGGACTCTTGACTGGTGTGCAGATAAATTATTGAAACATAGAAACGGTATATAAGATTTAAAAGGGGAGGGTTTATTAAAATTCAATGCTAAACATTAATGAAAAGGCGAAGGGAGGGGTTTCGAGGTGCTAACCGGCCTGACAGCTCTGTGCTCCTCTGTGCCATCCACCCAAGGCCACAGAGCTATGTTTTCATGTCTTTTCCGGAAGGCCAGGAGAGTGGGGGACCACCTCACCTCTGGGGAAGGTGGGCAATGGCAGAGAAGGCTCTCCTCCTGAATCCTACCCGTTGGAATTCTTTGATTGTTGGTGTGTGAAACAAACCTTCCCTGCCTGACCAGGTGGGATGAGCTGAAATAATATTAGATCATTATTACATACTAATATTAGAAGCAAGCAAATTATTCCTCAACCAAAGAGTTTTCTTGGACAACTCTCTTGTGTTGCTCACCACTAACGTTGGTCTGTCTTTTGCGTCTGTTTGGCGTTCACCCTGGTAGACAGCAGATATTAACAGCTCAGAAGTGGAAGTCCTCTACTTGCAGAATGTCTCCATGGAGGATGCTGGTGAATACACCTGCCTGGCTGGAAATTCTATCGGCTTGTCCTACCAATCCGCCTGGCTTACTGTGCTTCCAGGTGAGGAACAAAAAGGGATTGCACATTTCAGGCTTGTAAGAAAGCTGTTTGTGGTCACTTTGTTAAAACTAAACTCTTGATAGGAACAGAGTACAAAACACACAGACCCACAGACACACACACTCAACTTTAGATAACCCCAAGGCCATTTGACCAGTTCTGCCCCCAAGATATTAAGGCTCAGACAAACAGTTTGCTCAACCTTCAACAAGACAGTGCACAGATGACCTTCTGAAAAAAGAAATCTGATTAACTTTTTTTGTGCCTTGTCAGATTAAGCCGATATTATTAAAAGATTGGATAATTTGAGAGAAACTCTAGTGGCAACATGTAAAGTAGCCAAATCTCTAATTGATTTGATTTTACCAACTATCCAAGGCAGTTGCTATCACTTTAAGCAGGGGTGGGTGGGGAATGATGGCCCTCTTATGACTTGTGGACTCCAACTCCCAGAATTCCTGAGCCAGCCAAGTCCACAAGTCATAAAGGGGCCATCGTTCCCCACCTCTGCTTTAAGGAAAGGCCTGTTGGCCTGGCAGCCCCCCTCCTCTTGACCTATGGAATCTAGACATGCACATTAGCAACATAGAGTCTCCTGGAGCAGATCCAAATTCCTCCCCCCACCCCTTGTCAAAATAGCACAACACCCAGAAACTTCAAAGAATAAAAAGCTGGATGCTGCTGATAGACAAGAGGAAGGTTTTGACTGCCTACAACTCAGAACCATAAAGGGAGTCAGATGATTGGCCACACCAAGAACATTGCTCACAGCGAGATGGGCGGGAAACAAGAAAGGAAGGAAACAAGAAAGGAAGGAAGGAAGAAAGGGAGGGAGGGAGGGAGGGAAGGAAAGAAAGAAAGAAAGAGAGAGAGAGAGAGAGAAAGAGAGAAAGAAAGAAAGAAAGAAAGAAAGAAAGAAAAAGAGAAAAAGAGAAAAAGAGAAAAAGAAAGAAAAAGAAGAAAGAAAGAAATGGACATTTGCAGCTTAACATATCCAATAATGGTCATACTTCTGAACCTTTGCTTCAGAAATCTCAGGAAAACATTACAGTGGCAGCCCCCAAGACAGGAAGGACATCACCACCCAGTGCAGAACCAACCCTCTAACAAATTATACTGACATGAAACAACAACCCGCTTATATTCACCTTGTTAAATGCAAACCACCACAAAAGTTATCTGACTCCATATAACAGCATGAGAACGGCAAAGGCAGCCCAACTTACAATCAGTGTGTCTTTGAAGGAACTTTCAAACTCATTTCATCTCTAATTGAGGCAAGAGCTAAATCATTCATTCACAGACTACATTCACACATACATTGCCAGGCACCTCTCTGATAAGAAACAACTTTGAAAAAATTGAAAAATAATATGACAACAAAGAAAATGTAATAAGACATGATGTTGTTATATGAATAAAGAATATTTTTTAATGTGGAAAACATTATAGCTAGTTATGAATTTGTTTTCCTGCCAGTTTCATGACTGAAACTGAAAAGAATAAAATCTAAATGTGAACATATATCTGGGGCCTTTTTAAATACATTTGCCAAGAAATGATTGGCAGCAATAATAAATGTCATATGAATGTGTGCACATTTTGGAGTTTTTCTTAAAATATAGATTTGTAGATAATTTATTATGCAAGATCACACTCTTAAATAGAAAAAGAGAATTATATGTGGCTTTGATAGCCGTTCCAAATAGCTGTCTTCGAAGGAGACCAACCACACTAAACAATTCAATATTTTTTCTTCTGCTTTAACATCTCCAGAAACGTATTCAGGTATTGACAGTGTTCAATGTTAATTTAACTATAGAATTAATTAACTGAAGATTTATTTGCTCTTTGCAGATGAAGAAGAAGTTGAAGAAGTATATGCCCCTGAAATCAAGTACACTGACATAATTATCTACACTTCAGGGTCTTTAGCTATTGCTATGGCTATTGTCATTGTTGTTTTATGCCGCATGCAGATTCAGCCAAGCAAGCAGCCTCTGGAACCAATGGCTGTGCACAAACTCTCCAAATTTCCTCTTATCCGACAGGTATGTAGCAGAAACATTGATCTACCGAAGTAAGAGGGCAATTAATCACTGAATTAATTTTAAAAGTTCCCCAATCGTGAGCAAAGCTATCTACAGGTAGTCCTCGACTTACAACCACAATTGAGCCCAAAATTTCTGTTGTTAAGTGAGACATTTGTTAAGTGAGTTTTGCCCCAATTTACGACTTTTCTTGCCACAGTTGTTAAGTGAATCACTGCAGTTGATAAGTTAGTAACCTGGTGGTTAAATGAATCTGGCTTCTCCACTGACTTCGCTTGTCAGAAGGTCACAAAATGTGATCACGTGACCCCCGGACACTGCGGCCGTCGTAAATATGAGTCGGTTGCCACACGTCCAAATTTTGATCACATCGTCTTGGGGATGCTGCAAAGGTCATAACTATGAAAAACAGTCATAATTCACATTTTTCAGTGCCATTGTAACTTTGAATGGTCACTAAATTAACTTTGTAAGTCGAGGACTACCTGTATAAGTATGGATGTTGATTGTAAACAATAGGGACCTGTGGTACCCCAAATGATTGTAAAATACAAGTTCCCTACATCATTAAGGGCTCCCAAAAGATCTCTCAATATTTACTAAGGTAGATCTGCTGATCTCCTATGTGTAGACCTCATTTAAGAGTCAGACCAGTTGTGGAGAGACAGAATATTACTAGATGGACTTTGCATAGTGTATTAGCTGTATCTATTCTGCTATGTCACCTGCGGCATTTTGTTACTTGAATCTTATCATACTTGCGTCCAGTCTGTTGCTGCTCTGGAACAGAACCACGTTCAGGGACCAATCTAATGTGTCCTTGGTTTGCCTCATAGTTCTCCTTGGAATCAAGCTCCTCAGGGAAGTCCACAACATCACTAATGCGTGTTACTCGCCTCTCCTCAAGCTGTACTCCCATGCTAGCTGGGGTTATGGAAGTGGAACTGCCACTGGATTCCAAGTGGGAATTCCCACGGGACAGGTATGCATATAAGGAGGTGGGTTTTTTACTGCATTTACTACTGGAGAAGCGCAGCTATGTTTACAATATCTTAACAAACTGAAGCTCTGTTAAAAGATGGAAAATGGAAAAAAAATGCCTATAATTCCTTATCAAGGTCTCTATTTATTCTACTACAAGGAGCTGGTTCCTACATTTTTTCTGTTACCAAGTTTTTTATGTCAAGATATCCACAGACTAAAGTTTTCTATGTTCGTACAAAGAGAGAACTTAGTAATTATTGGTAACATGATAGTTCCAAAATGACTACTTCATTCAGAACAAATAAAGAAGGAATATGGCACACTTGCTTTGTTACACATCTGTGTTGCCAGTTAAATGATGTAAGCATATATTATTCCTGTCTATGTGAATTGAGCCAAAGCTGCCATCTTCATTTTACAACAGACTTCCACAAGCTAAGGCCTCCCAGATGTGTAGGATTACAGCTGAATGTTCACTTGTGAAACACTGCTCCTCAACAAAGTGTGCAGCAGACAAAAAACTCAAGTATCACAATTATCCCAAGGCAATCAGATATGCCACATTTGTCCATGTCAAAATTGCCCTTCAGCCACTCCTTTCTGGCATATAGGACCATCTGTTAATTGAAAGCTATTGAAAAGGAATTGCTACAGTTGTCCTTGACTTACGGCCACAATTGAGCCCAAAATATATGTTGCTAAACGAGACATTTGTTAAGGGAATTTTGCCCCATTTTACGACCTTTCTTGCCACAGTTGTTAAGTGAACCAGGTGTTAAGTTAGTCACATGGTTGTTAAGTGAATCTGGCTTCCCCATCGGCTTCACTTGTCAGAAGGTCGCAAAAGGGGATCACATGATCCTGTCATAAATATGAGTCAGTTGCCAACTGTCTGAATTTTGACCACATCACCATCTGGATTCTGCAATGGTCGTAAGTGTGAAAAATGGTCATAAGTCACTTTTTTTCAGTGACATAATGTTGAACGGTCACTAAATGAACTGTTGTAAGTTGAGGACTACCCATACTTGTTATTGAAAGCTAGTCAATATCCGCACTAGTCTTGACATCTGGAAGAATAATATTCCACGGCTAAAAGGATTCATTGTGACTTTAGTAACTCATAGATCAGCCTAAGACACAACACTTACAATCTATTTAGTTGGGTTTTTTTTAATCAAGGTTGCAGCCCTGCAGCACCTTGTTAATGTTGCCACATTTTCCCATTTCTGAAGTTGTCCTTTTTTGTTCCTAGGCTGGTGCTAGGCAAGCCCTTAGGGGAGGGCTGTTTCGGGCAGGTGGTGAGAGCAGAAGCTTATGGGATTGATCCAGAACGGCCAGAGCGTCCTCTCACTATTGCTGTTAAAATGCTGAAAGGTAAATGTACTTTATGGGACCCAAAGCCGCATCCTTTTCACTTCTGTCCTTTCATTATTGGTGGTCTTGTTTTTTTGTTTTTTTAAAGTTTTTTATTAATTTTGAAATATCCCCCCCCACTTACAAATATAAACATACATTAATACAACTTTAGTATTAGAAGTTTTACAAACATAAACGTTAATATTGCAAAACAGCCCGGCAACACCCCCTCCCCGCGTCCGCCCTCTTTTCTCCTCCTTCAACCTCCCTACACATCCCACCTCCTTCCCTCTCCTCTTCCCACGGGCACGGTTTGGGGACGCTAACCGAGCATTAGCTCGGCAGCACCCCCTCCCCGCATCCGCCCTCTTTTCCACTACCTATCTACTTCCCTCCTATCCTCTCCTCTTCCTCTCCCTCCCTTCGGACACGGTCTAGGGGTGTCTTCTTAAATACGTAGCTCTTCATATCGTTTCGAGAATCATATAAGCTTATTTCTTTCCCTTATTAGATAATGCTACAGATAAAGACTTGGCTGACCTCATTTCAGAAATGGAGATGATGAAACTGATGGACCAACACAAGAATATCATCAACCTATTGGGTGTCTGTACCCAAGATGGTGAGTGACTTCATTTCTGGCTAGGAGGCAGAAAACACAGTGGGCATTGCGGGAAGGGAGAGGATGTTTGGGAGGCAAAAGGTTGAGAAAGGATGACTCAGCTGGAACGAAGCGGAACTCATTGGGGGAAAATTGGGCATTGCAACTGTAAGATCTGACAGAATGCCAAACTTGAACATGGGCTCTCAGTGGAATTGGGAGCAGAAGTTAAGATAATTTTGGAGACATTTTTTGATACCATCACACTATGTAACTGCAGGTCCTCTCTACGTGATTGTGGAGTTTGCTGCCAAGGGGAATTTGCGGGAGTACCTGCGAGCCCGCCGACCTCCAACACCTGATTACACATTTGATATTACCAAGATGCCAGAGGAGCAGCTTTCCTTCAAAGACTTGGTTTCTTGTGTTTACCAAGTAGCCCGTGGCATGGAGTACCTGGAGTCCAAGCGGGTAAGAGGGATCTAGCCAGATAGTGGCCATTGTCATCTATCATGATGGTGCTCCAAGAAACCCTCTTGGGTGTATTGGTCAGCTCTGATCCAGAAACACATAATTTCAGTTCACAGCCACAAAAGCTTTAGATGTTGAGAGTTTGGAAAAAAATCAGAGAAGAGCAACTAAGATGATTAAAGGCCTGGAGATTAAAACATATGAAGAACGGCTACAGGTTTTTGGCTAGTCTAAAGAAAAGAAGAAATAGGGGAGACATGATAGCAGTATTCCAGTATTTGAGGGGCTGCCACCAAGAAGAGGGGGCCACGTTATTCACCAAAGCACCAGAGGGCAGGACAAGAAACAATGGTTGGAAACTGATCAAAGAGAGAAGCAATCTGGAATTAAGGAGACACTTCCTGACAGTGAGGACAATTAACCAGTGGAACAGCTTGCCTCCAGAAATCGTGGGTGCTCCATCACTGGAGATATTTAAGAGGCTAGACAATCACTTGTCTGAGATGGTATAGGTTCTCCTGTTTGAGCAGGGGGCTGGACTATAAGACCTCCAAGGTCCCTTCCAGCTCTATTCTATTCTATTCTAGATTGGGCACACAATATTCTTCCCAAAATGGTGACTAAATTATCATTTTTATTGTGACAGGAGAAATGTAAAAACATAAGGAGTAATATTATTTAGTTCTAATTAATTTTAAGTTCAATTAAATTCTCGTATCCAACCACTTTGGGGAATGAAACCACTTCTTGGCATAAGACTCAGACCAAATATGTTCTTTGGTCCAGAAAAATTATATGGATTGATACTTGATTATATCCTCTGGCATCTTCATTCCACTCCATATTAAGTTTGCTATTGAATTGCCTGAGATCCAAGGATAAAAACAGAGTGTTGTATATATCAGGCCTGAGAAGAAGGGAATTAGAAAGATGTAAAAAATTCCCTGCTTATCGTGTTTATGTTAGAAGGCGTAATAAGCTAATCTACGATGACAGCAAGGTTATAGTAGAGTCCTTGGAGTTTGATGCAGCTCTTTCATTTTCCTTCCAGTGTATTCATCGGGACCTGGCTGCTCGCAATGTTCTTGTTACTGAAGAGAATGTGATGAAAATTGCTGATTTTGGCTTGGCCCGTGGAGTTCATGATATAGACTACTATAAGAAAACCAGCAATGTGAGTGAAAAGACCATTTGATGGCCACAGGGTTGCAAAAGGGTCTAGTTGCTGCTCAAGTGCTTTGGAAATGCAAAGCATCATAGGGAAAAACATGAGTAAATTAAGAATATTTAGGCACCTCGGTCCCCAAAATATAAAAAATAGCAAGAAGGGGTCAGTTGATCTAGTCATCTAAACCCAAGGGATTTTTTTTCTAGATTTATTTATTTTGAAACAAGCCAGTCTCGCGTAAGATTAAACCAATTCCATCCAATCACTCATGTCATTAGAACATTAAACCCAGCAAACTGCCCAGTTTTGCCTACATGCAGTAGCCCTGCAAGAAAAGGAACAGAGTGTGGCTGGATAAGCAAGCTTTTCCATTATACCACTCACCATCAAGCCCCAGAAGCACAGAATACGATCAGACACTGACCGTGCCATGCCCATTGGCTCCTGCCTGGCCAATGGAGACAAGAGCAGTGATGCAGTGGAACCTTTCCAGTGCTCTGTCGATGCAAGGACTGTGTATTAGGATGCCTTTATGATGACCTTGTGGAAGACAATGGATGGGGACTGTTCTGAAAAAGATGGCTGTTAATGTGACTCTCCATTGCCAGAACCACCAATGAGATCTGGCTATCTAGGCAACTGGCAGTATTTTTAAGAGGAACAGGGACAATGGTTGGGAAACAAAGTACCACAGTATCTATCAGTGAAGTTTATTTGATTCTACAGGGAGTCCTCATCTAGCGACTGCCTCCCTTAGCAACCGTTCACAGTTACCATGATGATGAAAAGGCAACTCTACGACCCGCTCTCAACGTTTATCACTTTCCCTGTCTATAAAGCAAAAGAAAACTGAACTAAGTTTATAAGCCCTTAGTGACCACTTGGCTTAACAATGGAGTTGCTGGTCCCAATTGTCAATAAATAAGGACTTACCTGTACTTTTGAAGTATAGAAAGTAATTTAAAAAATAAAAGATTTGATAGAGTTGTGGGACAATACGGTATGTACGAATACTATTCTTTGGAAGGAGAAGGAGAGAACTTGTGAGAGCCGCTCTGTTACTCAAAAAAAAAAACAAAAAAAACAGCAGCAATGAACTGACAGCTTCTTATGTTTACCTGCAGGGTCGCTTGCCTGTAAAATGGATGGCACCAGAAGCTCTGTTTGACAGAGTGTACACACACCAAAGTGATGTGTAAGTACGAATATGCAAGACGAGATGGTTCTCACTATCTAATCATCCTATAGAAATGTGCCCAGTAAAACTACCGTACTGACTAGTGCGGTGTAATATTTTGGATCTGCTTCCAAAAAGTGTTTTGAAGTCCAAGTCTAGCATCTGTCTGCAACATTTTAAAACAGGTGTCTTAAGATATTGCAGCTTCTGCCGTACAGTCCCGGGAAAAAAGGCATAACTGTTTAGGATGTTGTAAATAAATTTTATTCTCTTGTTCCCATCAACTTGTGGGGATCAAATCTAAAGTTTGCACACCTATAGATAAATATTGCAAACTGTTTCAGATACATCTCTTTGATTTTTTTTCCACCTATTAAAAAACAGTGGAATCTGCCTTATCTGGAAAAAAAAAACCTATTGGTCTATCCAGGGCTTTTTTTGTCATAGAACACCCAGAACGGAGTTCCGGCACCTTTTTTGGATGGAACCTTGTAGGGTAGGCAAGGCGGGTTGGCTATGACGTGTGTGAGTTCCAGCACCTTTTTTTTTTTTTTTAACACAAAAAGCACTGGGGTCTATCTAAATCCACAATAGCTACACTGACTGGCTGTAACCCATTTTAGAGTTTCAAACAGCTGTCCATGGAAATGGTTGAAGAGGGGACTTTTTGCACATCTACTGTGCCTCTAATACAACATATTGCAACTCTCCCCTGAGTATTTTAGAAACATGGAGAATAATTGGAGTCTATTATATATCAGTTCCCTAATGTTCCTAGTACATGAATCAAAGTTTTAATCTAAAAGCCAGAGCAATGTGTCCATCAAACTACCTGTAATCGATCTATTCAGTATAAAGTCACTTCCTCCCTGAAATACATTTTTATTTCCACCCTGGATGGATGCATGCTGGATATTTTTGCCTCTTTTCCTCACTTTAAGGTGGTCCTTTGGGATTCTCATGTGGGAGATTTTTACACTGGGTGGCTCCCCGTATCCTGGCATCCCAGTGGAAGAGTTATTCAAACTCCTCAAAGAAGGTCACCGAATGGACAAGCCCTCCAATTGTACCCATGAACTGTAAGTAGCACTGGGCCTCCTGAAGCCACATTTCCCAGCCTGTCGTCTTCCAGATGCATTGCATCTGTGTCCCATAGAGGCCTGAGGTTTTTCTTTTTCCAAAATAGGTACATGATGATGAGAGAATGCTGGCACGCTGTGCCTTCCCAACGACCCACCTTTAAGCAGTTAGTGGAGGGATTGGATAAAGTCCTGGTTGCTGTCTCTGATGAGGTAGGTTTGAACTCCCAGGGGATGGTTCCGCTGAGGATATATAAACAGCTGGTTATTGGCAACAAAAAAAGTAGGAATTTTGCCTTTATCCCTATGAATGCTGATTATGTATTTTTTTTTCCCCAGTATCTGGACCTGTCAATGCCTTTTGAACAGTATTCCCCGTCCTGTGAAGACACAACTAGCACCTGTTCCTCTGATGATTCAGTCTTCACCCATGATCCTTTGCCAATCACTCCTTGCCTTTTTCCTTATCACAATGTAAGGACATGAGGAGGGGGACAGGCCATGGACACTAGAGAAAGTGGCATTTTTGTGTTTTTTCCCCCTTCGTTCCTAAAGGATTACATAGTTTGAGAACTTAAGTTCTCAGAATGTCCCTGGTCGAAGAAACTGCCTGGAGCTATATTAGCAAGAACTAAAAGTCTCATCAAGCTTCTGGAATCTGCTGGACATCTGCTGTCCAAAGTTCATCAACAAGAACCAGATGGCTTCCTTACACGTGTCTACGGATGCTCCAGGCACGATGCTTCAATACCCTGTAATCTCAGGTCCCCTCAAAGCTGTTGCTCTAGCTGAGCCTTCAATGCAGCCAGCTGACTGAAGACAAGTAAGACCAGATTAATAGGAAGTAACTTAGTCCTGGAGAGAAGGGCACTCTCTAACTGCAGGAGCTCTTAGGAGCATCACAGGGTATCCTGCTTCTTTTTCTGATACATTCCCAATTTAATAATACTTTAAAAAGACTTCATGATTTGGCAGGAGTCAGCCAGCCAGCTTTCTCAGGCAGTCCCATCCTTATCTGGACACACCATCACAAGGATGTCCTACCTAGGACATGGACCTTTCCTTCTGGTTCCTGATGTCCTCTGTACATAACCCTAGAGATAAATATTTATGTACATATCACTTCTAATGCACATGAATTACCCGCACCCATAAATTATTTTTTTGGAGTAGAACCTCTGCCTGGAGGTGTTTTTTTTTCCTGCATCTCCTGTTGAAATGATTGCTAGACTAGTCTGGCCTCAGATGGTATGTCTAAATCGCTATGTAAAGTTCAAATGTTGCAATTTAATTTGGTTCTTGTGTAAATGAATATCTGTGAAGCTTTAGAAAGGAAGGCACAGTGTGTCTAAATTCCCTTTTTAACAACTAGCCATAATCTGATTTTCCCCTCCATGATCTGTAGAAGAGAAGGTGATTGGATTTTTCAAGGCAGAATACAGTTAGTCTAATGCAGCTAAAGCAATAGAGAATCCAGTGGCACTTCAAACTCCAATATATTTATTATAGCATGAGCTTTTGTGAACATAACCCAAGTGATCCAGTGAAGGAGTTGTTATCTTCAGCTATTTAACTAAGGAAGTAGAGCATAACTCATCAAATCTTTTGCTCCAACAATTTTGTGATTCTTAAAGGCCACAAGACCCTTTGTTTCTGGCCTGACATCATACAGTATTCAGCAGGTTCCATGTTTCACATTTGACATCCAGGCCAGATGTTTTGTCAGGTCATCCCTAAGCACAGTATTCCTAAATTTTGTAATTTTGCCAAAAGTTCATCATTTGTTGGGAAACATAAAAGGAGAATACAAGGAAGTTTCAGGTGTAGCATAGCTTTCCCCAACCTGGCACTCTCCAGATGTGGAACTCCTTGCAGTATCCATTGCCAACACAGTTGTGCTGAGCGTTCTCATCCAGAATATACCAGGTTGCAAGAAAATGGAGGCAGGGGTACTATAGTGAGAGCTATCTCTGTGCCATGAAAGAGTTTACATGCTTTGTTTTGCTGGACACTCTCTGCTAGGGAGAATTCAGTTTGGAGATAAACGTTAAGGAGATGCGTGAGATTTATACCGGCCCTTAGAAATTCAGCTGTTTCTGTGTTTTATAAAGAAATGGATCTGAGCCCAAAAAGGACTAAACTCATTCACCTGCACCTGTGTGAGTTGCTTGCACACATAGCATGTGCACCTGTGTATTCCACAATAGTATGGGAAGGCTAATGTTGGAGTGTCCATTCTTACGAGGTTTGCTCATGCATAACATCTGTTCTGCATTAGCTGCTGTTCCATTTAAGCCACCATGAACTCCACTACCAACATCTCCCCGAAATTGATCTAGCAACTGGCCACTCTTTCAGAGCCTGGGAATCTGTCTCAGGATACCGCAAAGCCCAGTGGGACTATTCCGCCCCCCCTCCGGGCCAAACAGCCACCCTAGTGTCTTCCTAGCGATTGGTCAAAGCCCATCAAATATCAAAAGGAGTCCCTTTCCCTGCTTACAATTCCAGAAGATCTAACATACCAAGAAGTAGAACAAAGGTATTTTGAGGAAACATTAAAACGTGTATTCCTTCTGGTTGTATCCCCTTTCTCCTGTTAAATATCCTACTTTCTATGCTTCCCTTCCACCACTGAACTATGGCAGAAAACACAGGATCCACCCCCAGGAGGTAACTGCAGCTGTCTCTCTTCTTCCTCCCTAGCCCACCCACCCCCCACGCCATCTACTGGGTTTAAAGTTTCACAAGAGATCTTGAGAAGGAATTGTAGCCCCTGCCATCCCACTGGGGATAGGGTTTCAACGGGCCATTTTCCCCAGTGTTGCTTCCTCTCTTCCCAGCTGTAGCCCATTCCAATCCAGCTGGGTGAAGGGATGAGAAATAAGGCCTCTTATCCCCGTCCTCCCCTGCCCAAGTTGTTTGTGCTTCTGCATTTCCTTTTTTCTGAAAAGTAATTTATAGCAATGACACGGGGCAAGTGGTTATATACTGCAGTCAGTGTGGTGGGCAGCTGGAGAGAATTTTTTTTATCTTACGCTGAACAAGAGTTTTCCAAGGACTGAAGAGATGCTACAACAGGTGCAATAGACATGAGTTGTTGCTAATCCTTTTGGTTCCCTCTGTTATCAGCTTAAAACTCAGTCCTGCACGTACATCAGTATAGACCACTTGCACTATTAAGATAATATAACCTAGTCGTCTCTTATTAGCAGCTTCCAGAGCCACTTTAATCTACGAATTTTTAGCCCATTCATCATTCATATTATGGATGTTTTAGCTTATTCCATTTCATTTTCCAAAAGCGCAACACTGCAAACCCAATTTTTATCAATGGTTCAGAGGGCAGCATGCAAGTCTGCATAACAAATACTGTCCTTCGTATATGGTTGTAATATCATCATATACAGACGTCTGTGAATGTTTACATTTATTAGGAAAATTCTTGTTCTGTTGTAATGTTTTTTTTCTATAGGACACAGGATTTTGTAAGAAATATCCAGCCAGATTTCTATGACATCCCTCTGCCCCCGTCATTTCTCCTGTACAATGGTCCGATCATTTACTTTTGCCCAGTTTTAAAATCAGAAAAATTCTCAGTATTATGATCAGAATAAATGAAGTACTTTTATAATTGACTGTGCTTCTGTCATTCCAGTTGCAACGTTTCATACAAGTAAAATTGAATTGCTTAGTTTATTCTGGGGAAAATATTGGGGATTTTTTTCTGATGGCTGAACTGGTTATAGCGGTCCAGTCGCTGGCCTTTAATTTACTCCTATGGATAATATTTTCTCACAGAAACATCCCTGTTTATATAATCATAATCTCAGGGGTTTGTGGTGTTTTTGTTTTGTTTTGTTTTGTTTTGCTTTTGGGTCAATGTTGACTCCTAGCAACTGCCTGAACAAGTCCCTGCAGTTTTATTAGCAAGATTTTTGAAAGTGGTTTACCATCGCCTTCTTCCTATGGCTGAGACAGAACGACTGAGCAAAAATCAGCCAGCTGCTTTTGCTTAAGACAGAACCAGAATTCAGTTTCCTGAATTATCCAAATATTTGCTTTGCTTGTCCATTTGCAGCAGCAGCATGAATACTTAGCACCCATCAATAACCAATGGTCCAGAATACTAGAATGGATTTATTGAACTCCATATGACCAAGACAGCTGGTACCTAAAGAAAAGTGTCCCATTTTCCCCTATGATCAGGCAATCTTTGAATAGGACCGAAAAATCATTATAGTATTTAGTAAAACTGGTATTTTACAAGATCATTCTGCCCATACAGATCTATAGTGATTGATTAGCTTGTTCAACTTGAGGTTCCTCAAGAGTAGCCAAGAGAAAAAAAACATAAATATCATGGTTTGGGGCAGTTTAATGAACAGCAAGATTTAGAATTGGAATAGCTAATGCTGGAGGGTATTCAGGTCTCCTTTAAGTGTTTCCAGACAGCTATTGAGAGTTAAAATGAGACCACACTAAAGCAATATCACACCTGCCTTGTGCTGCAGAGATTTGGCACTTTTCTAAATCATTGTGGTTAGCAATAGGGCTTGAACAGAGGATGACCCAAATGTCAAGTATTGCTGTTCCTGTGACTTTTCTCAAAATGGATCATACTAGCTTCTACCATTACTTGGAGGCCTTTTCTTCAGATGTCAACAGCTCTTGCATAGTTTTTTTTCCCTGCCAAAGCATTGTAATTAATCTATAATATAATTGACAGAGCTTCTGAAAGATGAGCTTTCTTCCTTGCTTTCTTGGGACAAGAGGCTTGAAAACTTATGTAGAGAAGCAAGTCTAGCATCCTTTGTTTGATCCATGCCAATCCTGTTTAAACCACAAAGCCATTCCAAAGGCTAACTGGGACTCAAAAGATTGTGGTAGGTTGTCAACCTGCCAGCAAGCAGCGGGTGTTTCAGATGACACAAGGGCTTTGGTTTGGGGCCAATACTTAAAATTGGCAGTTGAATGCTAAATCAGGACCACAATATATTGATGGGTTTCCTTGGCTAAAAGCCTGGGAATCATTGGCATTGGAAGACATTATTATTGGAAGGGATGGAACTTAAAATAGAATGGCACAGAATCATTAAGGATGTGGGCATAAACAAAGCTGATTCATAGAACCCACACATTTATACCACCCACCAGGAATTTTGAACCTGTGTGGCTGGGTGGTATCCAGGTTGAGGGTTGCCAACAGGTTATAGTACTCAAAACAAGATATAGCAATCGGCTAGGTACTTGTATCATGTTGTCAGTCAGTCACATGATACAAATTTCCAATTGGAAAATCTCCCTGTAGGTGAGCAAAGGCTAATAGGCTCCTACACAAACATTCCACATTAGTTTTTTTCCCACTTACAGTAGTTGTAGACCGATGCATCCAGCTGTAAAGAGCTTACATCTTTCAAGTATATTAAATGTTCTTACACTTCAGTCCTTTATTATGTGCTTTGTTTGTATGCAGTATTTGATGGTTATAACTTGTGGCTGAGAAAGACAGAACCTCCAGCTTCACTAATAATTTAATATTTGTTATTCTTTGGCAGAATTCTTTCCAGAATCTGCTTATTCCAAGCTCCACAATAAAGATTCTGATTGGGTGTAAGCCTTTCGTTATATTGATGCTGCAAAAAGCTACTGCATGCATGTATCAATTCCTCCTGCATCCCTGCAGTTTCAGTGGCAGAAGGGAAATACAACGCAACTTAGTAATTCCTATTGAGTCCCTGTGTTGGAAAACAAAGTACACAACAGATTTCTGGATTCTAGAGTTTTGCCAATGATACTGAAGGTGACTCTACTACTATCAGCATTTTACAGTTAATGTCTATAAAGCTTTGTAAATACCTACCAGGATATAACTCTGCCTGATTTCAGATTCTCACAAAAATACTAACCCAGCGGACAGACTAGTATATAGAAGGCAGAAAGGAACCGCTCGGAGTATCTGTACCTGTAGAGCCATTCTGACCTAGGAATGGGCCCATAATATGGGTCCTTGCGGATTAAAAAGTGTTCCCTATGGACTCAAAAATCCTTCCCCTGCTGCCTCTTATAAGCAAATAGACCACCAGCAGGTGTGAATCCTACCATGCTCCAGAAGTCTTAGTGGCCCAC